CCCCCCCCCCCCCCCCGAATGCTTCAGTTGTTGATGTTGTTTCTTGGTTGTTCTGGTTGTTTTTTTTACTTTTTGTCACTTTATTTCAGTATCTAAACTAAATTAAGTGAAAGAGGCTTTTTAGTGAGATCGGTGTTGTTTAGACCTTTGGTACTCTTGTGGCATAATATTTGTAATAGCTTTAGTTAACAGTTAAGAATGTGAAATGCAGTCTTCTTCAGTGAGCTCTCTTCAAAGGCTGGACCTAAACAAACTTTTACTGTACCTTGTGTTCTGAACCTTTAATTTACTATTACTAAAAATTATTTATCTTCTTTTTAGATATGCTCACCTGAAGAACCATTGATTATGCTGAAATGGCTTCATTTATTGATGGCCTATAATGATTATACTTACAAGAAGTAAGACTGCTTAAAGATGTGAAAAAAACCAAGCAGCACTTTAAACTTGGTGTGCCCCCACACCAAGTGTAGTGCATGCCCATAAGTGACATTGTGATAGTTTGACCTGACTTGCCCACCATCTACATAGATCATGAGCTTCAGTGGGGCTTTTTGGCGCTTTTATCTAATAGCTGGTTGAATCGGCTTTAGATAAAAGCGCCAAGAAGCCCCGCTGAAATGCACAATCTATTCAGACAGTGGGGTGCTGGGTCGAACTAACACACTGCCTCTTCTGGTAAAGCGCAGATTGGTTTTTTTTGGATTTATTTTTTTGTTTTAAACATCTGTCGGCAGCCTAATTGTGGTTTGCCTGTCCAGAATAATGCTTTAGGATTCAAGCCACTTTGCCTCCTCTTACCTCCAGCCTCTCAAGGTAACATTTGGGCTTTGTAATGTGAGAAGAAGCACATGTTTTAGTGTTACAGAATGTAATCATGTTAAAATGGTGATGGAAGAGATGTCATCTAATGTAACCCCCACTTCATAAGTCAGGATCCACCTATGTTTAAATCATCCAGACAACTGTTTATCCCCCATCCTTAAAAACTTCCAAGGACAGAGATTCCACAGCTTTCTGGATAAGCTGTGCCAGTGCTTAACCATGCTTCTTAGAATTTCTACCTAATATCCAACTCAAATCTCCCATGGTGTTATTTAAGGCCAATGTTACTGTCACCCGCAGCCACAGAAAAGTCTGTCACTATCCTCTTTTACCCTTTATACCAGGGGTTTCAAACTTGTCGTACTCTGTGGATTCAAAGGGGCAGATCTAGCCTGTGGGTTGCTGATTGCCCCTGCCTCTGTACATGGCAGCAGTGGCGCAGGGTGGTGGGTGGCAGCAGCACCCCCCCCCCCCCCGTTTGGCCAGGCAGGCGGTGCCTATGTGGTCCACAGAGGGAAGCCTCTGCCGTCCGGCATGGGGTGATGGGTGGTGGTGCTCCATCCACGCCTGCCTGCGTATACTCCCTAGACCCTTTCCAAGTACCCCCAGTTGACAACCCCTGATTTAGTGGGTTGAACGCTGTTATCCGAAAGTGCAATTTATCACCTGGATATTATTTGCAGAAGGTGTGATGCAGATGCAGAATCCAATTACTTACTGACCCTTACATGCTTTTTCACATTCCCTCCGATTCATTTATTTTTAACAAGCTTTGTAAGTAGAGACAAGAGTTCACATCTCAGTAGCAGTGATTAGAAAGTTTTCTTGAACTTTAATATTCCACTGTTAAAGTTAAGGTTTTTCTGACTTTCCTCAAGCTTCTAGAGTACCCAGTTTTTTGAGGGACCAGAATATTTTTTTAAATCAGTAGTTACATAAAGATATGTGAAGGGACTAATTGAAATCCAGGAAATCCCAGAGATTTAGTTCAGAAGCTTAGGAGATTTTTGCTACAAAATAGATATGCTTCCTGGTATTGAATTCTGGCCTAAGTTACAGGTTATCATAGAAAGTTATAATAGTACTATACCATTACATCTCTAGTTAAGTATATCAAACATGACTTGACTTGTCTTTGAACAGTTCTTTTCCATATCTAGTAGTTCAGTAAATAAGTGCTCTTCTTTCATAGGACCTGGGATTTAAAAATAATACATTTTACTAATAAAATCAGATCATTTATAAAACCTCTCAAGTCAAGTCAGTCCTGAGGCTGCTGCGACTGTTGGGGCACCTTAGATGCTATAACAACTCTCCTCTAGTCTGCCCTGTGTTTAACTGGCTGTATCCACTCTGTCGGTTGAAGCCTCATCCAATCCTTAATATTAGTTCCCCATCTCTTCTTGGGTCTCTTTTCCTCTTCCCCTCCATTGTGTCCTGCTTGATGGTGTTGGCAAGAGTGTCTGACCTTCTCATGATGTGTCCAAACCATTGCAGCTTCAGTCATAGCACAACTTCCAGCAAAAGTTCACAGGTTCCAATTTCTTCACTGATCCGTTGTTTGACTGACTCATTGGTCCGGTGCTCGATGTACAAGGCACACAGCAGTCTCTTAAAGCACGGCATTTCAAATGCCTGTTTTGTTTTCTAACCTCTTATTAAGCATCCGTGCCTCACAGCCATAAAGTGTCATTGAGATGACCACAGCATGCAATAGGTGTAAGTTTACCTTCAGTGTAATATTGCTGCTTGTCCAGATTTTCTTTAGCTTTGTTTGTTGGTAGTGGCTACTCTGGTCTTGACTTCCTTTTCAAATGTTAAGTCTTCTGTGATGTTGGCTCCCAGATACTTGAAATGTGTTACTCTTTTTAGTTTTTCTTTGCCAGTCTTTATATCAACATTGCTGTCAGTGATCTTGGAGATTGTCATCTCTTTGCTTTTCTTTAGAAGAGAAAACCTTAAGAACAGGTAAAATGTTTGAAGTTTATACACTTAAGCTAGGGACAGATATTACACACAAACCAGTTTAAGTGATCAGAACTGGTTTAAACCTGTAACAGAACAGACATTCAGGGCACATAAACCAGTTTGAAAATGGCCAAAACTGGTTTGAGAGAAACCTGTGGATGAATGTAGTATCAGACTCTGGTTGTATCAGACTTAACTGATTTAGCTCGAACTGGTTTATGCAATGTCTGTCCCAGACCTTAAACTTAACTTCTAGGAAAAGCAACATTTTTTTTGTTTGTTGTTGTGCCCTTTCCTAACTTCTCTAGACCAAGTCAGGTTTTCATATTAGAATAGACCAGTGTTTCCTAGATTGGTGTGCAGAGCACTTGAAATACATATGTGAAAACAGAGAGGTCTATTTGGTGGTGCTTGTTTATTTCCAAATGGGGAAGGGAAATGAAATGCAGAAGTAAGATGATTTGATTGTTTTTCAATATGTCAAAATGTTTATCACACTTAAAATTACTAAAATATGTTCCTTTATTACTTGTTTGTAGAAGAATTGTTGAAGTTCTCAGAGGGATGCTGTATTAATTCAGATGCAAGGGGATGTGATCAGTGAGATGCCACTTCTGTTAGTGATGGGGACCCCACATGGTTTAAGAAGCTTAACAGCAACCTTGCAAAAATGAGACGTACAGTTCTTACATCTGCTGAAGAGAGTTGCAGAACTGGAAAGCTGTATTACTTCTGGAAAACTATGGACACATTTATACGTGTTCTGGAGGGGTGTGTGGGGGGTGGCACTTTAATCAGAGTGGCTTCAAGAGCTGTTCTAATTAAAGCGCCACAGCGACTTGTGTATCAGCATCCCTGCACTTCAGAGTGGTGGTGGGGGCACCTGAACTAAAGCTTGTTCTACAAGCTTTTGTTCAAGCACCCCTGCTGCTATTTTGAAGTATGCGGATGCTGATGCACAAGACACAGGAGGCTGCTGGAGTCTGGTAATTGCCACGCTCTAGCAGACTGGATTAGTTAAGTCTGCTCTGACGTGCTGCAATTACAGCACATTGGAGCAGCCTCTGTGCTCGGGTACTGACACCCTATATGTTAATTTCAAGTCAGTGATTCCACTAACTTACAGGGTAAACACAAAGTTGTCACATTTTACCTTAACATTTGAAATGAAGCGATTAGGCTAGTGTGTTTAAGGAGGTGGGTGAGAGAGAAGCTTAAGTTCTTCTCACCTTTCTGTGTGTTTGGTGTTTTGGGTGAAACTTAGAAGTGGTCTTGGAGAATTCTTGGAGTAGTTTTTTCTCAACAAATTAGGAGAATATCTCTAATGTAAATTTCAACATAACTAATGCTTCATCTTTCACTTCAGCTGCAGAAAATCTTCACGTTCCTCAAAATCCAGCATTGTGGTGTTGATGCAGGAGGTCTTCAAAGCTCTGGTATTTGAGTTTCAAACTAATTTGTCTCTCTCTATATGCTATCCCAGGGGCGGGCAATTATTTCAGGCAGAGGGCCGCTTACTGAGTTTTGGCAAGCCGTCGAGGGCTGCATGACAGGCAGCCAGGGGCGGCTAAATATTAATTTTCTAAATTTTTTAGGGGCCCTGTGGGCTGGATACAGTGGCCTGGGGGGCTGCATCTGGCCCGCAGGCCACATTTTGCCCACCCCTGTGCTATCCTGTTAAATAAATTGTGTGGTCCTCTAAGATTGTATTGTTTGTGACAAGCTATTTGTCTTCTCTCTATTTTTATTACTTATCAATGAGTTCAATATAATTATTTAACAAAAAAAATCAATTTAAAATCCAGAAACTGGATTATTTTGCTGTGCCGGAAGTGTTTTTTCCCTTTGTTTTTTATTACAATAAGTTGCCTTAGAAAACTAGAAATATAATTTATCAGCAGTTGTCATAATAAAGCTTGTTTTAATAGGCCTTTAATATACTTATTTACGATCTTGTGCTCTGAAGAATAGAATCTCTTTTATCCTGGATGTCTAGACTGAACTTTTTCTTTAGGAAAGCATCCACTAAGATGCTTTTTTATTTTATTTTTTCCCTTCCCCAGCCAAGATTCTGAGTCAGGAGGATTTAACTTTCATTAATGGCTGGATTGGTTTAAGACTTTAAACTCAAAAAGTAAGAATTGTGCGGTCCTGGACTTCCCAGTTCCCAACAACTTCAAATGCAAGTTGTTAGTTTCTAACTCTTACCTCATCTCCACATAGAGCAGGGGTTGTCAACAGGGGTACTTGAGAGGTCCTAGGGGGTACACGTGGGTGGGTGGGGATGGAGCGCTGCCACGCATGATCCTGTGGTGCTGTGCAGGTGCTGCCCGCCTGACCAGACATGGGGTGGGGGGGGAGCTCACATGTGGTGCCCCCCACCTCCCATTGGGCAAACGGCTGCGTGCCACCCTGCTATGCTTGGTGGCTGGGGTGTACACTGCTTTGCGTCCAGCCGCTTGGGGGTACAATGATAGAAAAAGGTTGAAAACCCCTGACAGTGTTTCTGCAAGAAGAATTCAATCAATTCCTTGCATTTCCCTCAGCCTAGATATTTTTCCCCCTTTTTGCTCCTTTTTATGTCTCCTGCTGCTCTCTGGTACACAGGAGACTGTTTTGGCTAATCCTCGAGATCCTGACCTTGTTGCACTAATGAGATTTCCTCTTACTGGACCTTGCTGTAGCTGTTCAGTGTTTGTGCAATAAAGTTTCGAACTAGGTGTGGTAGGAAATATAGCAACTCATCTCTGTAGAACTGGTTGGATTCCTTATTATTGGAGAGATGAGAGCTTGTGTTGGTTACTTTGACAGACTGCAGTACAGCCATGTCAGCTTCAAAGGCTTATGCTCTTCATAAAATCAGCAGCTGTAGCAGTGTGAGGATTGAAAGATGAAAATATACAAGAAGGACAGGCAGGCTGATTGGGCTGAACATAGCTCTTTTGAGGCTGAGGAAGAGCAAGGACAGCATATAGAGGAAAAAGTCTGGGGTCAGAGCAGCCTGAAAAATTTAAAGGACTGGCCGACTTTCCCTGATAAAAGCAGCAATGTGGTGATGAGTCTTTTCTTTGATTACACTGTCTAACACAAGTAGGCTCAGAAACAGGGTAGGTTCTGAAATACTCTGGCAATGGAGAAGAGAGATTCATATGATATGTAGCTTTTAAAAGCATCTCAAATCCTTTCCAGATTATATTAAATATTTACTTTTTAATTACCTTTTGACAAACATGTAGTGATATATACTTCCTGTTGACTAACAGAGGTGTACTTGTTCCAGTGCATTTTTTCATACCTATTAAGCATGTGTGGGTTTTTTGGGGGGGGAGGGGGTGTTTGCCGTGGGTCCTCTTGCCTTTTTTTCTAGTATATTGTTTACCCGTGCTTACTTTGACTCGCAATTTCTGCACAGCTTAATTTTTCTATTTAAGTTTTGAAGCGTTGCTGCTTGTTTTTCTCTCAGGTTTCCATGTCCATATTTATACTGCAAGAACCTCATTGAGGCCTGGGTATAGCTATGTCAATCCAGTCCTGTGTACTGCAGGACAAGGGTCCCAAGCCAAGCTGATGGGTGCACTGAAGAAAAGTTCCTAGGCTAGTCTATCTACCAGATGCCATCACCACTTGTTTCTATACTTCATATTTAGTGTGTGTTGGAAAGGTGATGGCTGATCATTATTAAAGGGATTTTAACTTACTTTGCAGAGTAGAGGCCATTGAAAATTTAGGAGAGTACTACATGGAACATGGTATCCTTATAATTGAGTGAAACTTTTTTCTAGGACTTTGAATGGTATTATGCTGGGTTTTAGTGCGCTTTAAAGATGTTCTGAGCTTAAATAATTGAGGTGATTTGCCTGGTTAACAAGAAGTGGGGAGCAAGGGAATTCCCATCCATGTAACTAAATGAATAGATATTTATCCTTCTTTATGATGCAGGGGATAATGGGATAACTGTACACCTGCCTAAATTGAATCGTTTAAAGCTATAGTTTTTAATTTCTGAATTGGTGCTTTTTATAACCTGAAAAAATCAGTGTGGTCTGTGCTCTGGTAATTGTGGGATGCTGTCTTCTGTACGTGTTTTCAGAGGCCTTCTTGTTTGTAGTGTTTTCCTTTCTTTGACAAAATAGTTGCTTTAAATAAGACCATACTAAAAGTCTGAAGGTGGATACTGAAGATAAAGTAAAATATTTAATAGTGATCACTTCAAGCGCTGTCGCTTTTTCAGTTTGTTCACCACATTCAGAACAAGACTTGCACAAGGAAAAAATCCTTCAGAGGCAATGGAAGGATTTAAGGTTCATCAAAGACAGTTAAAATCTCTAAAGCAGATAGATGTTATTGGCAGCCTAGAGAATCTCAAACTGAGTGGGCTCCCTAAGTTCTTAAGTACCATATTCCAAATTGTGGCAGGGGGCCATCCTGGGGCTGGGTCTTGTGTCAGCCTGCCCACCTGCCTACGTAGGGCAGTCCACCCAGTCTTTCCTGCCATGACTTGCTGGTTAAGTAAACTGGTGGTAAATGCGGGAGGCTGCCCATTTTTTGCCCCAATGCCACTGTATTCCTGGCCAAAGCTGGACCAATTTAGTCCTCTGTCAGGCCTGTGCTGTGTTCTGAGCCTCACTCATGCTGCTCCCCTCTCACCGGGGCCTCTTGCACTCTGCCGTCTCACGGGGCCTCTTTCACGCTGCTCCATACTGGGCCTCCTTCACTCTGCCCTGATCCTCTGAGCGGCTTCCATAGGTCATCAGATTTATCAGTTTCACTCCTTGACTGGCCGACATGCAGCCTTTTGGGCCTCTCCCACAACCCTCATCTGGGTAGATTCATAGATGCTAGGGTTGGAAGGGACCTCAACTGATCATCGAGCCCAACCCCCTGCCCAGGGCAGGAAAGAGTCTGGCCCCCTGCCCTGAGCAGGTAGTGACCAGCCAATTAACCAGGCGTTGGGCTAACTTCACCCTAGCTCATTGGGCACTTCTGCACATACAAAACACACTCCTTTGGGGAATGGCCCATATTCTGTCCTTCTGGCCATCCTTCAGCCGTACTCAACACGTCCCTTGACACAGCCCTTCAGACTGGCCTTCAGCCCTACTCTGCATTTTGCTCATGCACAGCCCTTTGGTTTGTAAAGACGCTCCCTACTCTGTGCAGACCCACCAAATATCCTGCTGCCCTTTTCTGGGGTCATAGTCCTGCTCTCTCCCTTGGCTACTCAGAATCTTGCATCCCCCTCCCCCCGCAAGCTCAGGTGTCCGCAGACCTGCCTGGCCTGACTATCTGCTGCTGGGTCTACTGGGTCCCCTTGAACCCCCTAGGGCTCAGGTGTCCTCAGAGACGTGTCTGGCCCTCTTACCCACAATGTTATTGGGGGCTGGAGATATTAAGGCACTCTCTACCCGCCTTTCACTGGGGAGGTTAGCGGTCCTGGCATTTGAATGATGCTGCCCTGCCATGGGCAGTCCCTCCAGGCCTCCCTGCCCCAGCAGGGTGCAGTTTTGAGCCATGCCCAGGACCAGGAGCCTCCTGCCCTTACCTCCAAGATTTTGTGAGAAGCAGCTCAGCCACGTGATGTCGCTCCCTTAGCTGCAAGCAGCAAACTGCTGCCTTGCCTTAATTTGAAAATGGCTGCCTTAATTGAGCACCTGTCGGTTGCCCATTCCAGCCCTTAAAGTGGCATGCCCTGCCGCACAAATTAACTTACAAACATTAACTTATTTTTTGTCTGCAGACTTCTCTCTTCCATTCCTGGACTCTGACCTTGGTCTACTGCAGAGCTTGATAGCATTTCATACTTATTGTGGAGTGTCTTTGGCATTCATTCAGATACAAAAATTTTATGCTTTCCTGCTTTATAACTGTTTCCCTGCTCTGTTTCATAATGACCACTTCCACTCACTTGCATCTTGGCAATTTGCGTCATTTTGATGAGATGTTGCTGGATCTGCCACACCAGATAAGTACAGTAATTTTATGGAAGCAGACTTTGAAGAGTAGTATTGATTCTTATGGAGACATGCTATTTTAATCAAGTAAATTCATTTAAGCTGTCATGGTGATGCAGTGTGATAACATGTTTGCTCTCTAAGTAAGATAGTAGGTTTCTGTCCTAGATGGATGCAGCTAACTTTGAAGTCATAACAGTATCAGCCATATGGCACAAGATGTCTTACAACTAGCAATGATTATTTTAAGATGGGTCTACCTTCCCAGGAGTTTTGAAAGTCATTGTTCTCCCAGGTGTATCTTCAGTGCCTTGTGTGAAATAATCAAAAACAGCACTATGTATTATAAACCTGAAGAAATGTCAGAGTACTTTACAGATACTGACTTAGTCAAAGAAATGCGTGTTATGTAGGTATCTGCTTTTTTAAACTTTGGGTTGCTTTTGTGTGTATGCTGGTTATAATCAATAGCACCTGAATCTGTG